CTGGGGGGCTCCTAGAGCAGGCTCCTCTGGGCCGCTGCTGAGATCTGGGGTCAGCCTGCTCTGCGGGGTGCCGAGCATGCGGCATCCCTGGCCTCCCCCACCCCATGCCACAGACGTGCCCACCGTGTGCAGCACCACCCAGGGTCAGGCCCCTCGCTACTGACGGAGCGCTGCTAGAGAAAGATCCTGCGTGCCGGCTTGCGGCGGCAGCCTCGCTGGGAAGAAAAGAGGCGCACACCGTGCCAGCCCGAGCAGGGAGCAGTGTGCCAGCGGGCACCAGGGCCCTGGGGCTGCAAAGCCTGTGTCTGACTTGTGAAGACGGGGCCCACTCAGGTCTCCGCCCAGGCCAGAGCGGAACAGCCCGGTGCTATATTTATGTCCAGAGGCCCATGACCATGGTGGTCTCACCGAGGCCCCCATGGAGCTCTCCACTGACGAGGGGCACACCCAGGGGCACACCCACCCACCCCACACGCGAGCACACACCTGCACACACCCACACCTGTCCACACATACACTGGCACTCTGCGAGCCCCACCCAGACACAGGTGCAGTCCTGGGCATGCCGAGAGGGTAGAGCGGGAACAGACTTAGGACACAGGGACCGGCTGCCCTGGACACCTGGAACCAGGGCTGCTCAGGGCTCCGGGAAGTGAGGCCAGCCTGGGGCACGGTGCCTCTGCATCCGGTGGCCTCCTGCAGGGGACAGCTCCATGTCTTGTGTGCTCGGAGCCAGCAGTGACCTAGGCCAGCAACAGCTGCAGCGGGAGGCAGGGGCCAGAAGGAGCCAGGTCCAGCTGGCTGGGGCTTCTGCTCAGCGCAGGGCACCCAGCCACCACGAAGCAGCTGGTGCCAGGCCCAGGCCCAGCTCAGGGTGATGGGCTTGCTGTCACAGGTGCCCTGGCCCAACCTTCTGTCCATGCTGCCCATCTCCAGAGCCAACACAGCCCCTGTCACACATCTGTCCTGTCACTTTGGGAGCTGCAAGGCAGGCCCAGGATCCCCCAGAACCACACCCGACATCTCCGGAGCCCAGGGTCCCACCTGGGACCTCGTACCTGCGTGGGGGACCCTCCTCCTGGGGGCCAGCTGAACACGCCACCCCCACACTGCCCAGCTCAGCCCAGCTTCGGAATTACCACCAGAGAGCAGGGCCAGCCCAGGCCTTGTGAGAAAACATGGGGGCACTGAAGTCCGCCTCACTCTGGACCTGTCCTCAGCACCCTGCCACAGACCCTGGGCTCCTCACTGGTCACCAGGGAGGGCTGTTCCGGCCCCCTGCGCCCACCGCAGACGTTCATGCAGATTTCCAGGCCACCATGGCCGCAGCTCCAGAGCCCTCAGCAGGCAGCAGTGACGGAGGGCGTCCCATCCCGGCAGGGCACAGCGGGGAGAGGGACGGACTGGGTTCGGAACCGACTGTGACAGCTGCAGAGCTCAGCCAGGCCACCCGAACCTCCGGGTACCCAAATCCGTGCACCACATCCTCCGCCCGGCCCAGGGAGATGGCAGGCACGTGGGGCTGCTGCAGTCAGGGGGAGCCCCGGAGTGGGGTCAGCGCCCACAGTGGGCCCCTTCCCCGCGAGGAAGCAGCAGAAGGCGCCTCCGACGTCCACTCAGGTGAGGTCCCCGGACACCAAGCCCAGAGCTGGGCTCCTGCTGCAGCCTCCCACACAGGGGCACCCGTGTCCCCCGTACCCAAGCCACACGCCTGGGGCGTCCTGTGACAGCAGCCCGCACGAGAAAATGACAGAATCTCAGAAATGGGGGACATGGTGGTGGCCAGGGTTAGGGAGAGGGGCAACAGGGACGTGGGGAGGACATGCTGCCCTGCGGCCTGGGAGTGGTCTCAGGACACCTGCAGTGCCCGCTGGGTGATGACATAAGAACAGGAGACCCTGCTGTCCCGTCCGCAGGGTGGCTCACGGGCAGGGCTCCGCTGCCCCCAACCCTACACGTATATTTCCTACGAGCACAGGTGCTGCCCCAGCACAAGTCCCCATCCCCTCGCCAGCTGGGGCCCCTCCAGGAGCAGGCCCAGATGTCCTCTCACACAACCCCACAGAGGTGCCCCCTCGGCCGTACCCGCTGTGGGCCTGCAGGGACCGGTGGAGCCCAGAGGACACCTGGGGCACTCAGCGTCACCACTAGCAGAAACCAGCCTGCACCTGAGGACTCTCCTCCCCGCGAGGGGGCAACATCAGGCACTGGACGGCACAGGAAGGCCTCACACAGCCAGCAGGCGCAAGATCACAGGCCAGTCACCCGCAGCCCCTGCCCTGGTAGAGGGGCACAGCTAAGCCCAGCGTCAGGCTGTCCCCACCACCCCATTTCACCCACAGAATTCCAGGAGGTGATGGTCACAGCCACTCCCATCCAACAGGCAGGGAACGAGGCACAGTTACACGGCTCCCTGAGGTCACACAGCCGCGAAGGGCAGCACTGGAACACAGCCTCTTCCTGCCAGCCGGCCATCTGTCTCTCCCCATCCCAGGAGGTCCCCGCAGGGACAAAATCTTCTCTGTCGCCCCTGTGGCCTCCAGAGAATCACGTCAGGAGGTGCAGGTGGGGCCAGAAGCAGTGAACCACAGCCACATCACCAAGCAGTGGCAGGCTGCCCCCGCCGGTGACACTGCGGGGACTGACCAAGCTGCCGTCACCCGCCCCACACCTCCATCCGCACAGGCTGGGGTCCAATGACTCCCGGACCTGGTGATTCTCCAGTCACCACAGCTCAGCCCCGACCTGACCACGGGTGGCGGCGTGAGCTCCCCCAGGCCAGCAGCTGATGGAGCCAGGTCTGCTGGGCTCGGAGCCCGGAAGTTCCGGTCCAGGTCAGGAGCCTCGCTGCTCTGGGCCTCCTGCCTGGGCAGTGCATCACGGCAGCACGCATGGCGAGGAGAACCTGCTTCCCTCCTGGCCAGGACACAGTGGGGCCCACAGTCTTCTGCAGGGGACACCCAGTCACCTAAAGGCTTACCTCGCTCGCTGAGGACCAAGTCTAACAGCCCTCCAGGGGACACTCAAGGTCCACACTGCAGTCCGCCTGGGGGATGGGACAGAGCCCTGCCTACCCAGCTCACCAGCTGTCGCCAAGCCCGGTGAGGCCCACGGGGCTCCGAGCTGCCTCTCCTTCCCCACCCCGGGGCCTCAGACCCTGCACTCTGCAGCTCGGCCGTCCAGGGCTGCTCGGACTGCCCGCTGGTGAGGACGGAGCATCTGTGCCCACTCGGGCCAAGCATTTCCGGCCTCATCACTCCGTCCTCGCTTCATAGATGAGGACACGAGGCTGTGGCCTCAGTCAGGATATGGCCCACCTAGCACCAGCGGGCACCGGGCAGCAGACTGGGCGGGCTGGGAGAGGCGGCCCAGGCCTAACAGCCCAGGTCAGTGCAGGGATCACCGGGGGTGGTGATGGCGGAATACAGGCAGGTCCACACTGAGTGTCCCCACCAGCGATGGCCCCCAACCAGCACCTGGGGCCTGCAGGGCTGGGTGCCACATGTCCCGGGCAGGGGACTCAGAGCAAGGAGCTGACTCGGGCTGGGAGACACAGATCAGCAGTCCTCAATCTGGGGACCCAGAGTGGCAACTGAGGACACGTGCAGTTGTCACACTGGGGAGCTCCCTGCATGCAGCAGGTGGGGCGCAGCACGCTGCAGTGCCAGGTCGCCCCCACACTGAATGACCTGGCCCCAATGTCCCCAGTGTGCAGTGCTGTGAGCCAGTGAGTATCCGCTTGAGTTTTTCGGGCTGGTGCCAGTCCCCAGCTCACAGCTCCCCTCCTTGGGGAAACTGAGGCACAGACCTGACATCACTCAGCCAGCAACAAGGATCTGTACCTCAGCCCCCGTGCTGTGCCCTCACCTGGGGATGCTGAGGGCCCCCAAGCTATCCCCTGGCTGGGTGGGGGGACACAGCCAGGCCCAAGTGACCTGCTGGTTCCAGATGACCTGGCAGGTGCCTTTCAGAAGGGAGACGCGGCCGACGCCAGCAGGCACAAGGACAGCCCCAAAGGCAGGGGCCCAGCCCGCCACCTTGCGATCCCACACGAGGGCATCCCGAGTACAGCCTGGCTGAGGACTGTCCTCCACTGGCACAAAAACCAGGGCCCCGCTGGGGACCCACAGGGGACTGCTGCCTGTGCACAGCCACCCTCCAGGAAGCAGGGTGCCTCTCCATCACGGTGCCTCTGGGTGGCCTGGCCCCACAGTGCAGGGCTTCACGGTGAAAATCAGCACCACGCAGGCACTTCCTGCACTCTCCAGTGATAACACGGGGCAGGAGGCCAGGACAGGAAGGGCCTCAGGGATCCGAGACCTATGCACTCAGTGCTCAGGGCCTGCAGCCGGCCGCGCCCAAGCCACCCGGACCCCAGGACAGGCTGGCCTGGCAGGAGGAGCGCCCTGCGCTGCCGAGACACAGCCCTAGGCCGAGTGGCCTCTGCCCCAAATGGGCTCAGGGGCTGGGCCTGAGGCTCCGGGGAGGGCAGGGCTTCGCCGCCCTCAGGGACAGGCAGGGAGGCCCGGCCTGCCGGGGGCTCCAGCTCCTGCCACAGGTCTCTGCCACACTCTCGGGCCTGCGCCTGGGGGACGACGACTCAGCCTTCAGTGAAGACCACATCCTGTGAAGAGGCCCCCTCCTCAGCCACATAAGGGCTCTCCGGCTCCCACCAGCTGCAGGGACACAGCAGAGACACACACGGAGCCCTCCCAGGAGGCAGCAACCACCTCTGAGCCCCCTCTGGGCCGGGGCACACCCAGCCTCCCAGGGCCGGATCCAGCCTTTGGCTGCCGGGTGGCCGGTGGGCGGCGGGGCGGACAGGAAGCCAGCTGAGCGAACCACCCTGCTTTATTTAGAAAGCTCGGCAAGGCTTGCTCAGCCTTGCTAGCAGCACGGGGACTGCGGGACCGGCATTCCCCGGCAAGTCCCTGGCTGTCCAAGTGCAACCTGCCTGTGGGAAGCGGGGACCACAGCCTCTCTAACAGCAAGCAACACTGACCCAGTGTGCGCCCAGCACCCTGGGGATCCAGCGCCAAGTGCTCCACGCTGCTCCTGCAGCCTCTCTGCACCTATGGTCCTCAGGGGCTCTCAAGGCTGCAGGGGACCCCAGGAAAGTGGCTGCAGCCCCATACGGTACATCAAGCAAAAGCATTAGACGGGATGAACCTGGAAGAGTATCCCAGGTGAACCCCAAGATATGTTCGTGTATTCACCCGAGCAGACAGCCCGGGACCCTCCAACAACAACACCCACTCCCCAAGCATCCACTCGGTGATACCCAGCTTCGCAGCCAGAGCTTCGGGTGGGTCCTGTGCCATTGTGCGGCAGAAAGTCTCAAATAGGGGCTGATCTGCCCTCAAGGGACATCTGTGGTCATCACAACTGGGGAGCTCCTGGCCCGGAGCAGGTGGGAGCCGCGGACACCCCACAGAGACCGCCCCCACTCTGGTGTGCACAGCACCTGGGGAGACCCTGCCTGACAAGGGGCACTGAAAATCCGACCGGCCCCACGCCTGCGGGCAGCCCGGGAGGCAGTGGGTGGACAGGGCCAAGTGGACAAGCTGCGTCCCAGAGCCACTCCACCTGGTCACAAGCAGGAGGTCACGGCCGCACCCTCCGGGCCCGCTTCCCCCACACCGGAGGGAGGAGAGGCAAACACCTCAGCCCTGCTGGTCCCAGTGTCCCCAAGAACAGGAACCGCACTGCCTCAGGGCAGCCAGGTGGGGACTAGGAGATGTCCCCACAGCAAGGACAGTGCCCTTCAACAAGGAGCCCCGCTCTGTAGCCAGGTCACAGGAGAGCTCCTGGCAAGTTTCCTCAACCCGGCACTGGAGGCCACGCATGTGGGAAGTTTTCTGAGGGGCCACTGGTCCCAAACATCACCTCAGGGTCCAGGCCAGCATCAGCTCCTCTGTGAAGCGCTCCCCACCCAGCCCAGCACATCCCAGGACCCAAGGGGCATTTACAGCACACACACCTGTCCCCCTGGGTCACACAGGTCTCTCTCGTGCCCCTAACTG